GCAGTAATTATGAACTAATCTTATCGCGAGTCAATAGCTTTTCTCGATAAGAGGCATTTATCACAGTATGAATCCATACTGCTTAATTCACGATAACGAATTCATTTATAGGATCGGGCCAATTCTCATTTTTCATATTTCATTTGGATTTTAGAATGAATTGGTCAGAATACATAATTAATTTTCAATCATCAGCATTCAAATCACGAAAAACATACAATGATAAAAAATATGGGTCAACAAATATTATCAAGTGATTGAATTTCATCATTCATACAGTTATAATTTTAGATATAGACACACCCACTATGGTGATACGATATTTAGAGTTTTTTAAAAAAAGTCATGATTAATTGCCAGAAGGCTAATAAGTAGCGGAACAAGTTCCAAATCTCTGCGTTAATTTCAACGAAGGAAGCCATTAATAAATTGAAACCAGCACCAATGGTCAGCGATTTATGTTGAGTTTAGGAACGACCTACTGTACTTCCAGCGGAAGGTCATCACTCCTGCAAGGTTACAAAACACATGAACAATAAAACAATCTACTGAATAGTTGAATTTCAAAACATAAATAAATATAGATAGAAGGTAAAATTAACATTATCCAAGCGATCTATTAACACATCAGATAATGTGTTGGAATCCGAAAATTTGATAAAGAAATTATTCTTGCAGATGCAAGGTTACTAATTTGTAATTAAATTGTATATGCCATGCTAACTCAGATAATAGTGATGTTTAGAAATTTAAATTCTGCAGGGTAATTTAAGAATTTATATTGACTAATTCTCTGAAAAAGTAAAATAAATAGGGAAATGACAAACTGAGGTTATAATGAAATTACATCCGGCGGATCCAATGGAACTGCTGAGCCATCGGGGATTCGATCGTTGAATTAAGAAACGGACAGAACCGTTTCTTTTATGTAACAATAAAGCTAGTAAATAAAAATTATTAAGCCATGTAAGATGGATTTAGGACAAAATTAATGAAGGGTTTTTTCTTAATCTTGCGGTCTGCTAGATATGCATAGACTGCTTGATCTTAACTTTTTTCGTTAGCGGATATGATCATTTCTAGTTTCTCAAAGGCTGAAGAGGCATCCTACTACTTGAATAAAAGTATCAGGGATTGATTATGTAAAATGTTGCTCAAAAAAGAAGAAGCTGTTTGCGCTGATAATAAAACTGACATAAGGAGATTTGTGCAGCTGCAAACACCTCCCATTGACAGGTTTCACTTCTTGAAGGTACTTCAAAACAAGTATAACACATAATGACTTATATAATTTCCTCACCATTCTAAACGAAAAATTTTTGTTTTAGAATTATTTCTTAATTCACGTGCCTTAACTAGTATCCAAGATCCATTTAAAAATTGTTAATTTCACTACAGCGATCTATTTCTTGACGTTTTTTTTTTCTTTCAATTGCGAATACTATTCAAAATTATTTCGGTAATCAATTAATCAACAAAATATATTACTTATCCATACTTTGTGAAACAGACTACCATAAGATGGGATAACTTTGGGACTACGGATAAAATTAAGTTTGTGGTGATTACGTGGTGTATACACTGTGTTGGTTTAGTTTGCAAGAATGTGCTTTGTGAAGGCATGTACCTTGTAGCAGTTTGAGAAGCCTAGTTCATTACACTCGTTGTGCAGTTAGATTTATAGTTATTTCCATTGTTTTTTTCTAAATTCTTGTTTTCGCTTGAAACTATCGCTTGTACCTCAAGAGTAGTCAGCCGCAAGATAGTAGCGCAGTACATGCCAACACAAAGCAAGTTTTTGCAGATTGAGCCAATACAATGTATCCACCAAGAAATCACCACAAACTAAATTTTACTTACAGTGCCGTGTCAGATAATGTGTTGGAATCCGAAAATTTGATAAAGAAATTATTCTTGCAGATGCAAGGTTACTAATTTGTAATTAAATTGTATATGCCATGCTAACTCAGATAAGAGTGATGTTTAGAAATTTAAATTCTGCAGGGAAATTTAAGAATTTTAAATTGACTAATTCTCTGAAAAAAGTAACTAATAGTTAAAAAATTGAAGAATATATGTAAGTTAATAAGAGAAATTCAAAGAATAATGAAATAAAATTTACAAGTAATCCAGAGGACTGGAATCCTTCCAGAAGGATCATGGAGAATTTTTTTATTTCACGTGAATGGACCCTTTGAAAATCAATATTGAAAAATTGCTAATAAACTACAGCCAGAGATAAACAGAATCAGTTGTAATTTATATAAAATTACATGTTTTTACATACCCATCAATACAAAAACTTTTAGGCTCATTCATTTCTAGTACAGTTTTGTTTTAACTTTCATAATCAATAAGCGTGCGTCCATAAACAAATAAACCTCAGCGTATCGATTGTACAAACAACAAAACGACATCATTTAACTCTAGTGAGAAAAATGCAAACTAAAAACAAAAAAGGCGATAATATTAATAAATTCAAATATCTTTCTAAAAGGAGGCTAGCCGTATTTGGGCTAAATTTAGCTCGCATTACTCGTGATGTTATTATTATTTAATGCAAATAAATAAAAATGTCAAACATAGAATTAAAAAACATATCAAAATAAGCAGTTACTTTCAATGAGTTACGATATTTAGTATTTCAACCTACTTCGGAAATATAAAATTGACTTGTTAAAAAATATAAGCCATTAATATAAGTCAACATCTGTTAGTCATAATTTTTAAAATGGAACTACACATTCCAAACATAACAAAGAAATTCGATTTAGTGCTATCCACTTATCATATGTTTATGAAATTCACGATTTCGTAATCACTTCGTTCTTATTAACTTTATTCTAAACTTTATTTTATTAACGTAATCAATTTCACAATTCATTAACCGTTTTAAAAGAGAAATTATTTTTTTTTTAGATAAAAATTTAAATTTTTTAATTTATTTTTTTTTAGATTTCATATTAATTTTTATAGGTGTGCGCTTGTTTGTTACTCATTTGTAGCCCTAAAAAAGCCTTAAAAGAAAACTTAAGCGAACAATAAATAGGTAAGTACACATCTATTATTCTCATTTTAACTCAATTTCCTTTTATCTGACTGTTATCAAAATTTATAATTGGATTCAATTACATACTCGTAATGGGTAATTCCAAGATTACAAACCGTTATCTTGTGGAAACGTGAAATGTCACTTTTAGAAGACTTCATTTAGTACTTTTGGCGATTGCTATAGACCTTATTTTTTTTTTTTGGAAAGAAGTTCTTCAATATGCATTATTATGTAAGTCATTTATAAGCTTGAGCAATGAAAATGTCACTACCGTAATTGTCACAAGTATCATAGAAGCCTTTCAGTTGACAGAATGACTAAGTCCAATTTCAACATTTTTCAGTAAAACCATTTCAGTGATATTTCTAGTTGGAAACTTTATAATATCTGTGCAGACAGTGAGCAAGTTGATTCCAGAGTAGGTGTTTGCAGTGTTGAAATATAGAACTGTCAATAAAGGTATAAATTTCCCCAGTAGAAATATCACTAAAACCAATAATAACTCGAAACGTCGGCAAAAAAAAAAAATTAAATAATAATATTTCTATAATTTAGTATTTATTTGACCGCACCCCTCCTCCCCCCTCTCCACCAATCAACTCCTTCTCATAATAATAAAAATGTTAAAATTGGAGTTAGTCGTTTTGTAAACTGAAAGGTTCATATCACTAATTTCATTCTTTTTGTAATCAATGGAGAGCCAACTTTTATAACTTTTCTCTGAGAAATTAAGAAATATTTAACATTTTTTGTAGTGTATTTCATAATTATTGTTTTCCAACTACCAAGTCCCGAGTAAAAAATAAATAACCTATATTTAGTCTTACTTTTACCAGAATGGTTCAGTTAGAAAGGAAAATTTTGACAAACATTGTGGAAAATTCGCAGTCCTTGTAAAAAAAAAACAGTTGAATCTCTAACCGTTTTCAACCATGGAAGGTGAAAATATCTGTTCCTAAATTTTTCGTCATTACTATAACTCTTTACTAAAATTAGATGCTTAAAACTATTTACTTTTCAGCACTATATTTTTAAAGCATTTCACGACTCTATATTAGCTTGTGATTCCTTCTTCTGTTTAGAAAGTAATAAAAGTAAAAAATTCTTTTTGAATGATAAGATGTCATTACCGTATTCAAAACCCATAACAAAATGACTAAGGGACGGTAGTTATATTTGTATCTAAAAAAAAAGTAATTTGGTTAATTAGTAAGAAAAGTCTAATATGATAGAAATAAATAAAACAAAAAAATTGAAATAGGAAAATTATTTTTTCTTCTTAAGGAATTTATCCTCACCAGGTGATCTTAATACAAACAAATTTAGAGCTTAAATTGTTTTTCGATATTTAATCTATAAAAATGGTCAATAATCTTAGAATTATAAATATACCTTAATATGAAAAATCCGGAGTATATGAATGGGTCCCATTTATACTTAACATGAAGCTTAACAATTTGAAATGAAAGAAGGTGCGTGACTCGTTGTCTTAATATCACATTTAAAGTAAATTAATATATTTCAAACTAGTGATATTATTTTTTAATGAAAATTATCCCAAGCAGAATGAGCAAACCTTGAATTCTATTATTAGTCATGGTATCTTATCTCAGGGACTGTTTTAGATTTACTTAGATATGGCGACCTTAGAGTATGAGATTAGATTGTGTGCATTGCTTCTTTTATCTACCTTTTATATAAAGGATAAGGTGACTCGGATCTCGAGTGAAAAGAACAAAAAAGATAAATTCACCTTTGGCTACAGGAATTTCACCTGACGGTTACTGTGATGTACAAGTATTTAAATTTATATTTGGTAATTATTTTAGATATTTTGATTATTTTATCTTCTTCTCTTTTTCTAAGCACAACAAGGCCCATATATGGGCTGGCCATATTGGAAGGATGAAACCAAACCGTGCACCTCGTATGATATTGCATGAAAACCCTATTCCACCAGAAGAGTAAGATGACCACAGTAGAGATGGATGGACGATGTGTCAGCCGATGCGAGATCCATCCTAGGGATTCTGATCGGAGGGCGACTGCAACCATGAGATGACTGGCGGACCAAACTGCAGGAGCCCCTGACTGCAAGAGTTGTTACTCTGTGAAAGAAGAAGAAGAGGTGCATATAAGAAAACCACGGCTTTTTCAACTTCTGCCTTCCATTTTTCTCTACTCATTGCACTTTGACCACATTCAACGGCTGTATGTCTTGGGGTACACTACCTTTCCAGCGGTCCTTGGGTTCCTCTACTTCTTTTTCTATCTGTTGTATCTCCGTAATGTCTTTTTGGCATCCTGTCTTCGTCCATTCTTATTAAATGACCAAACCACTTCAATTTCTGGATTCTGGTGCTGTCCGAGATATTAGACCCTTATGATATTTGATTTTTTTATGGTTGTTATTAATTCTATGATTTGTCTCTGAAGGTACCTAAAGCTATCTTGAAGGCAACTGAAATTGTAAAGCTTGAAATGTCCTTGAATAGACTATTGCATTGATATTAGTATGCATGACCAAGTAGGATGAAATTATCAGTTAATAAAAAATAACTTGAATTTGGAGAAATTCGTATGTAATAATTCTTTAAACGTTAGCATAAGTTTACATCATTGCATGAAAATTTAAAATAAAAATAATAATATAACTGTTAGAACGAAAAAATAAGTCATTTCATAATAATGAGAGGAATGAAGACAATTCATACGACAGGGAAAAAAAGGGAAGTTGAAAAAAGGGATTAAGGAAAGAGAGAGTGTTTTAGGATACAACTAATATTTTATATAATATATATGATTAATTATGATTTAGGGATAACTAAATAAAAATTATTTCAAATTATGATTAACAGCACTGTTATAAAAAATGTATGATATCAGACACAAAAAAAAAATCATTATTAATGATCTCTTTTCTATTAATTATTAAAAAATAAATAAATATAGTAGTCGCCAGAATTAAAAATATTTTTTAAAACTATAACCGAATTAATTAATTATTAATAATATTAACTCTTTATCTTTCATCATAAAAAATACAATGCTTCCCTACCTTCGGTAGTGAGGAAGCAAAAATACAGTAGAAGTTTGAATAAGAACCGGGCAATAAATATTATTCCTTTATAGATCATCATCAACAACGAATGTTCTCCATTTCTCACTCAAAGTAAATTCTCATCCCTACCTAAGAGAAGATACAATGCAGAAGAGAAGTAAGCCTTTTCTAAGGTTATCTACCACTTATTCTGACTTTTACTGTAGTTAATTTTTTATTACAATTTAAATATCAGTCAAATCAGATAATGATACTACATTTTATCCATAAAGTGAGTAAACATTCAAATATGCAACATAATCTCGAAATATACATAGAAAAAGGAAAAAAAAATCAGCTCGCATACAAACTCGTTTGCTTTGTCTGAACATTTTTTATATTAAGTCAAATGAGATTACGAAACAAACTTCCAGCTCAGAAGTAAACAAATGCTTACAAGAGACAGATACAATTTAAAGACAGATAAACATAATTAATGAACTAATAGGAGTCCTTGACTTTCTGTCCCTTAATGCTCGTTATAAAAATAATGAATCATATTTTTAACATATGAGTTAGCTCTTTAGAGAAATAAGTTCCAACTTGTGGTTCAGAATAAATGGCTTCGCATTTTCCTTAGTGCTCATTACCACTTCAAAGATATTTCTACTTTCAGTATCAACGATTCTCATTAAGGAGACGTTAAAATCTAAGTAGATTAATCATAACAACTAGTTTTTTAAATGTATAAAAACTATTTTTTTTTTAAATTATATATTTAGATATTTTTCTTTCCAACCCTGCGCTCAGTTAAGCTTTATATCGTACGGCGGAAATGTCTTTGATGAGCTGGGGATTCATTGTAGATTGCAATAAAATTTCTATGGATTTGATCTGGTTTTCTTCTCTCTCATTTTTTATTTTTTTTTTTTTAGGGAAATTGATCGAACAATACTTGCCAAGCTTCCACACCTATATTTGGCCGAAAGCGTACAGAGGTACATTATTAAGAGTTAAGTGTATACGATGCAAGTACTATCGGATTTCACGGGTTTTACCGACGTACGATGGTTTTATTATTTTTCTGACATGCAACGGTTTCTTTTCCCATATCGTCTACGGCGTTACTATTAAGAATTACGAATATAGCAGAATATTCATGACGAGATTGGTCTGAATACCGCTTCGTAAGATTAGACGATATTAACCACCTACGCTCAGATGAAGCAGAAACAGGCAAGATCGATATAATGGTAGACTATGGTTTGTGATCTAGGCATACAATACACTTATTGCAATAAACCCAAGAACTGGAATAGACGCTTTGCCAGAATGGTATTTCTAAAGAAAAATATGTTTGTTAAACTTTGGTGAGTTTATCAGTCAATCGATTAGACTGAAATCGACGTTTTAATTAAAATTAAATCGAAAGTACAGGTTTCTTGCGTACCTTTTATTCTTAGTTCTGATTTTGACCGCGTCTACGACAGCCTGTAACTCATTCGTGAGTAGAAATTGCGTATTTTTTTTTTTTTTTTAATCAATCGGACGACAAGTCATTTAGTATTAAGTTGTAACAATAAAAACTCGAAAATACAAGAATTTTTCTGAGGCATATCTGTAAAGATAATTAGCGTTAAAGAAACTGGTGGAAAAGAAATAAGTCACAGGAATACGTCATGCTATTTCAGTTCATGCTAGTTCACATCTTTGGGTATTTTTACTTTACTTATAATTGGTAATTGGTTGACTGTCGTGGATAATGAAGAGAAGAATAGTTGGGGTGGTCAGTCAAAAAGAAAGGAAAAAATAAATGATAATATTTATTTATTTTATTCTAAGATTCCCATTGTAACACTTATGTCACCCTTTTTTTATTACACCTACTTCATTATTCCACACTTTGTAACAGTTATTATTATTTATCTCTAAGTTCTTAGTCATTATTCTAACAATTTCATTTTATTTTTATTTACTTTATTCTTTTATTTTTTTTTTTTTACCATCACTACTTATGTTTCTCATACTTTGTTATCTGGTTATTTTCTTAGTCCTGGTGAAGGCCTGAACTTCAGGTCGAAACGTCGGCATATGTAAAAATAAATATTATCATTTATTTTTGCCTTCCTTTTTGACTGACCACCCCAACTATTCTTCTCTTCATTACTTTACTTAAAGCAGTTAAGGTACTTTTTAGGTTCGAATAGTGTTCTTAGCTTTTAAAATTCCATCCTAGCGAATTCCTTCAGTTTTTTCAATATGTTGCCACTGAATAGAAATATTTAGTTTATAAGCATTTATATGAGAGAGCGGGGTACTCTCTCATTCAGACCACTTTTATTCATAAGTTTACTCACTTGTACTCCATCATATGTACATTAATCCTCCGGTGGTCACAATATGAGCAAATCGATTCTCTACCCTGCACATATGAAGATTCCTCGATGGAAGAGACAAGTTACTCCGCAAGATAAACGAGTCGATTACCAATTCAACCGAAAGAAGGCCATCAATCTTGGAAAAATTTTCGAATCGCATTTTCCGCAATGGTGGGCAGGTTCAAGGAAATGTCAGAGAAATAAATTGATAAAAAAAAAAATACGTACAGCCAAGCCTTTAATATAAACGGCCGAATAAGGAGTAGACCTTCGAACTTTATATTTCTCGGCTGTCTCGAGCGGCAGGTCACGTTGAACGGAGGATTTTACAGTCACTTAATTATAATGCCTTATTGCAGGTGAGAGTAAAGGTCGCTCAGTACTTTCAAGTGATATATTGCACAAATGGCGGGATTCATCAATATATATAAGCCTCCACAATAATACCTTTGAAATATTATTGCGATTTCAAGGTAGAAATAATGATATATACTACAGAAAAATAATGAAGGTAAATCATTAATTTAAAAAAAAATGTAATTGCAAAATAATAATTCCGATATCGTTTCAGGAAACAGTTACGATCATATTATTTAATTACAAACATAGAAATATATATTAATATATATTAATTTTTTTATACTATCCCTACTTCATTTCCTATGGACCATTTTATTAATCTTACTGTATATACACATCGAAACATATAGTCAGTGGTACAGACCTCTTTTGATTCCAATTATTAACATGCGCCTGAAACTTTGTAAATAGTTTCATCTCATCGTAACCTACAAATATTTTATTTACGAAAATTCTCGGAACTGGGGGGCAATATCTGGAGATCAACAAACTTTGTCTATTTAATTATGTAAACTCCAACCATAAGATAGTTTGAGCACATAGTCAAGGAAAAATGTGACCATAAAAATATTGAGCCGTTTGGGATGACCTACATACCCAAATTGTCAAAATAACGCGATTATAAGGGCCAAACGGTCCAAGTGGAAAGCAAATGGGCATTTACGAATATTTAGTATCTAATTAAATAAGCATTTTATCGACCTTTGAAAAGGTCAAAATTCCGAGAATGTTAGTAAATAAAATATCTGTAGGTTACGATGAGATGAAGCTATATACGAAGTTTTTGACCGATGTTAATAATTTGATAATAATAATAACTTGATTGAACTGAAATTTCCTGTGACATTGTACTTTTTAGCAAATTATTGAGGACGTAATTGATTAACGAATTGTTAAATATGTCTCTCATTTTATCGATCATAGACTAAATAGATCGTTTAAGACAAGTAAAATACACTCAACTTTTTTCTTTGACAATCAACAGAAAAATATTACATTTTTTCAAATATTAGCAATACTTAAAAGCGTTGTAAATAATCCCGTTTTTACATTGATTTATAATAAATTAATATTCTACAAATTAAATATTTTTTATCAGGAAATCAATAGCTAAGCGGTATCTTCTTATCATTAAGTTTTCTCGATTTTATTCTAGTCTTCTTTCTACAGTTCTCATCTTCATATAATCTATAATTTACTGTTACTTTAAATTTGAAAATTTACATAATTACATGAAATATATATTTTTGAATTAAGTAATGTTTTATTTATATTTATATTACTAAGATAAGCAAAAAGCTCTACAAAAAGACATTTATATAGAAAAATCCAAGAGAAAGAAATACTTTATTGAAGGTAATAATACTATATTATCCTTTTCATAATACTAGTTCATAATACAAAGCATCACTAATAAGCTTCACTAAGCTATCAATATTGCATAGCATACATACTGAAATAAAAAATAAAAAGAATTCTAAAGCTAAAAATTTAACACTAAATCGCACACACATATATATCAAATCACGAATATTGAGAA